GAAAATTAACTAATTTGTTGTTATGTGACAAAGTAATTATCTATAAATAGACCAAGTGCTAAATTACTCATACGTTGATGAAAGTATTCAATTTAGTCTGTAACTATTTGTGGGTGGAAATGTAAAACCCATTTAAATCTATACATTTGTAAGTCTTTTTAGGGCCGTTATTTCAAGTAGCTTTTAAAATTTATCTGTCCTTTAAACACATTTTTTCATAACGAATAAATTTTGAAAGCTACTTGGGAAAACAGCCCTTAGAAAGTTATAAATTTTCATAAAAATTTTATTTCATAAAAATTTTTCAATTAAAAAATACTTGAGGCTTCTGTTGTTGCGAAGAGAAAGGTTATTCTTTTAAATCATAATACATATATAAATTATAGCTGGACCGATTTGAAAATACCTCCAAAAATTATTTTGGTTCCGTTGATAAAATTTTTAAAAATTTGTCGTCAGAACTGTTAATTTTAAACTCTTCTACTTCTCATCTGAGGTGATTTAAAAGAAATATATTTTTAAAAATTAATTTTGTTTATAAAAAACTAAATTTTTGGAGGTGTGTAGATATTTTTAAATATGACCCGCTAATATAAATCTTAAGACTTTGGCAGAAGTTTTAAAATATTATAGATTTTATATTTCCGATGGAACAGTACCGATTTTTTTGTATGGACCCTAATACACATACATAGACCCTAATACACATACATATGTATATGCATGATATTTTCAGCACGTTACAGTAAAGTAGGTAAGGATTTATGGGGATTTGAAAACACATCAGTCCTCTGACTCTTAAAGAATTTAAGTTGGAGACTGAGTAATTCACATTAAAAATTTTCCAAATGCTCGTTAATGAGTTTAAAGCTTTGTTAAAAGTGATCTCCTGTAACTTTTTACATGCCGTCTCAAAAAAATATTCCTCCCTATATAGAACGTCTAAGTTCATTTGTGTCACGGGCATGGCCGGATTATATGATGGGCTGACAGGGCGGAGGATCAAAGCACCCACATTTAGGCGGCCCCTCATGACCATCAGGAGAAAATTCGTTGTCTTTAAAATCTAAATGTCCGGAAAACTTTTGTCATTGTTAGTAGAATCTTAAAGAATGTTTTTTTGCCAGACAGAGAAAAACTTTTCCAAAAGATTCTCATATACGAGCAAATCTCACGAAGTTAAAAAATATATATATTCTAACGAATATATATATATATAAATTTCTTCATGTATATAACAATTTTAGAATGAATTTNAGAAAACTTTTGTCATTGTTAGTAGAATCTTAAAGAATGTTTTTTTGCCAGACAGAGAAAAACTTTTTTCCAAAAGATTCTCATATACGAGCAAATCTCACGAAGTTAAAAAATATATATATTCTAACGAATATATATATATAAATTTCTTCATGTATATAACAATTTTAGAATGAATTTCGAGTGTGCCCAGAAAAAATCTAAAATTAGAATTTTTGTTTTGCAATCATCGTCATCTTATAATCCATTCAATTCTTTTTCATTTGGTGGCACACTAGGTTTATAACTCCAAACTACTCGTTTTGGCAAAAAGAACATTTTGATCGTTTAATGTATGTATGTCATACTTAATTGAAGTATCTTAAAATTTTAAAATGAAAAAATCGTTACTTTTCAAAAATTACAAAAAAGTTGCGACAGATATTCTGCATGCTGCCATTTCTTTAATTTGATGGCACACTTTTGATACTTCACAGATATCTTGTATTAGGTGCCAACTTTCCTTGTTTCTAATATCAACATTCTATTTGAAAACTTCACAAAGTTTCTTAAAAAAAAAAAAACAAAAAATAACAATTATGATTTCAAAATTGAGTAGTCTTCGCTGGTTATCGAAGATCGAAAGTGAATTTCGTATTATGAGCTACGAAACCATGTCGAAATTTTCGTTGAGTATCGAATTCTCTGTCGTACAGAATTTTTCTTTCGATGGTGTGGCGAAGTGTTAGAAAATTGTGAAATATGTATGATTTTGACAATAATTTTAAACAATTTTTATTAATTTCACACAGTTCCAACGTCGTGAATATTAAACACTAGCTCGAAAGGCTGGTTTACTTGTGAAAGAAAATCGTAGAGCTGTTGATAGTTTTAAAATATTTTAAATAGATTTGGCTCACAAACGCCTCTTTAGACAGTCGGAACTTTGTAATAAATATGTAGACGAAATTTTTAAATATATTTTATGTCAAAATATATTCGAAAGACTACACTTAGACTCTCTTAAACATTTGCTACTCCTGGCCAGTTTACTAACCTCTCATCCTCTGACGAATCGTTGAATCCGAACTCCGTTGTACTAATTTTTACCACGTTATTATAAACTTGCTTTATTTTTTATTTCATTTTAATTTGCACAAATTTACATAAATAAATATGTATAAGCACACTTTTTAGTTTACTCGATTTGTAAACAAAGCTTCTCAGCGGTGAAAAATATACTATTGTGAACAATCTAAACAGGCGAAATTCACAATAGCACTATTCTTTATCGAATAAGCGTCATAATATCAAATGAAAATTCGTTCGATCAACACTTTCGACCACAGTCGAAGATCGAATGCAACTCATAATAGGGGCCATTGTTATACTTTGCCCTTTTTTCTGAATTTTTTCAACTTTGACCATCGCTGATTTGAAAAATGTCTATGAAAGTTGCCAAATATTTAGTCTTTCAACTAATGCAATTGCATACAAATTGTTGAATGTGTATTAGGGATGCCAATCCCGGGATCCTCGTGTTTATGAGGTCTCGAATTTGAAATATCAAATTGATAGTAAGAACTTGTTTGTGAATTTTGAAGTATGATTTTTGTAAAATGCCGTCTTGACTGCTATTAGCAAACAGCTTGAAACTGTACTTTCAAAGAGCCTTTTTTGAAGAAGATTTAAATGAATGTACTCATACCGTAACGTAAATGAAACAGATGGTTTGAAGAAAAAGTTACATAATTTCTTAAATCAATATACTCAAATTGAAAAAGTTATAATTTATCCGACGTGCTGGTGAAAGAATTTCAAATATTTTGTAGTGGAGAAGGTTGGGGTCATTAACTTCAAATGGCTTATGACAGTTGTATGTAACAAGTTCAGGAAGAACAACTGTCATCTGAAACAACTTCATTAGTCTCCTTAGGATTTGGAACTTCGAGTAAAGCTATTATTTCTGGAGGCAATTTGAGGCGCTTTTGATCGTAAACTTCCCCTATAGAAAACTTTATCAAAATGTAATAATTTTGTTTAAGTCATCTGCCATATTGCGTCCGCCATTTTGAATATTCCAAATCCATAAATCCCCCTATAAATTTTTTCAAAAGTCATCCGCAATGTTGGATTCGTTATTTTTAATTTTCAAAAACTGACTTCAGAATCGTAATCAGCTACCTTATAAATCCCCCTGTAGACAGTCTCGTAAAAATTTTAGACATTTTTTTAAGAGTCATCCGCGATATGGGATCTGCCATTTTGCATTTTCAAAAACCTACCTAAGATTCGTAATAAGCTACCCCACATACCCCCCTATAGACAGTTTCAAAAAGATCTAATAAAGTTTTTTAAAAGCCATCCGCCATATCAGATTTGTAATCTGCAGCCCCAATGTCATACCCCCCTATAGACAGTTTCAAAAAGATCTAATAAAGTTTTTTAAAAGCCATCCGCCATATCAGATTTGTAATCTGCAGCCTCAATGTCATAAGTCATACGCCATATTTGACTCGCCATTTCAAACCTGACTTTAGATTCGTAATAAGCGAGCCCCAAACCCCCTCTTACGAATTCTCATATTTTCGCTACTTTTGATGCGCTACTTTAACGGATGAAGAAGTCTTTCAGGCCTACCAAGATAACATCGTCTGAGTCTTCTTGAAAAGAAGTTTCAAATAAGGAAGAGTTTCTCTGCATTGTGGCGATGGAAAATGTATATATATTTTTCATATGAATCAACATTAGCTCCTACACTCCACGTTTGATAGCCTCGGCTCGCCTAAAATGCTTTTATTTTTGGTCTAAATGCGTTCCTATTGGCGGCCTAAACCGTTCAGTACCGAATATCGAAACTATTGGATACTTTTTAAATGGGTACCGAGTATCGATCAATACTTAAAACGGAAAAGGAGGTATCTTCGTGTGTTTTTATAGGCAAACCGTTTGCTCAAAGCCATCGCGTGCCTGGTGCGGGACAGAAGTATTGTATTCTTTGGTCCAGCTGGGTTTAGGGTACTAAGGCAATCATATAACAGTTTTTATGTTACTATGTGGGACTTGGGAGCTGGTAAGGTTTCCTGACTGTCAGATAAGGTAATTTTTTTGACATGAATTCCTACTTAAGAAATGGTATGGCAACTGCCCATTGATATCGATTTCTTTAAGTTCTACCGAAAATAAAGCAGCTCCAGTTTCTCCATTGTCAATTTTAATACAACTGCATGCCAATGTTATTACGTTCCCTATATTACACATAGCTGGGGCTGTAATGGTTACCTTAAAGTGCCGTAAGTACGTCAGCAGCCACTGCTCACTATTCGGTATAGATTTCTAACCATAAACCCAAACACTTATCTTAATGCTTTTTGAATATTTACTTTATACTCATACATACATTTGTAAGTATATGTGCATACTTTAGATAAATACAAAATTTAGTTAAGGTCGAGACGGATAGCAATCTGGACAGAAATTAGTTCAACAACAAATAATCCGCTAAGATAACGATAAGGAACTCAATGCAAAAATCAAATAACAAAATTATACAGAACAACCCAATCAAATTCATGATTATCAGCGACAAAAGTGGAGCGAAATGAGGAAAAGCAATTGCAGCGAACGCTTTCATGAAATAAGTAAATAATAAAATTTAATTTTTTTATCAAAAAGCAATTATCTATTTGAAAATATTTTTTTTTTTTTTACAAACATTGATCGTTTATATCAAATAAAATACATAGTAATAAAATTAAAGCCTTTCGTTATCACAAAATCACTTAGTAACTAAGAAATTATAAAAATTGAGTTGAAAAAATTAAAGCAAAATCCTATGTGGTACTCGTATTAATACTTCGCTATGGATGAGAAGCACTTGAAGTTTGTTTACGAAAAATTAACTTAAAAACTAAGTAAATTGGAAGCACATTGATTCAACTACCTACCACGTGTACTAAATAGATAGCACTAATACTATGTACCAGTTAATTACGGCAGTACTGCAGCCGCTACAAAACGACTATCACAAATTTATCTAAAGCTTCAGTCACAATTAATGCACGCCTCTTGAGTTCATCGTCGTCGCGTCGTCTAGCACTTCAGCTTTGTTGCCGCCAAGCTCCGGCAAATGCGACACTTCAAGCTTGTGCCCAACGATCCGGCTGGTAGGCGGGATACTGCATATGCGGATATTGTGCATTGCTGTAGCAATAGCTGGGCTGCAGTAGATCCTCATCGGCGGCAACGGGTGCAAAACTGCTCAACACCGGCTGCAGATTGGTGGTCCAGAAGAAGGTGCCGGCTGTGGTGCGTGCAAAGCGTACTGGCACATAGATATCGTGCTCCTCCGTCTCGTCCTCCTCCCGCTGAGACGACGCAGCCTCTTGCACCAGCACGGCTAATTTCTCATTGGCCGAATTGTCTTGGATCTCTTCATAGAGGTGTTGCTCTTCCATTTGTGCATTGCGCAGATTCTCCAGCGATTCCAATGATTCCAATGAGTTGCATAAACGTTGACATTGTTGTTGCAAACGTTGTTGTTGCCGGCGTTGCTGTTTAAATTTTTGTTGCTGTTGCTGTTGCTGGTGTTGGTGTTGTTTGTTGCGAAAGAGTGTCTGCAAGACGCTCTTAATGCTATAGCTCGGTTTCAGCTTTGAACTTTTTTGCTGCTGCGCTTGCTGATGAATAATGTTGTTGGCATTGTTGGCCGCCGCTGCTAGTTGCTGTTGTTGACACATTTTCGTAAAAGTTCTATGACAGATTTTTTTTCTCTAATTCTCGAAAGTAAAAATATTCTTATTTGTTTGGTTGACGGTGCGTGGTGGCACGTTTGACGAACAAATTCTGAATGATTTCTACATCAAATGCAACGATCTTTTATAGCTCCGTGCCGCGCTCAGCAAACTCAATACATAGGTACATACAACTTCAACGTTTGTACATTTCCTTCAGGAAAGGCAGTAGTACAGTCGAAGAAACAGAAATACTGAAAAACAACTAAGTACAAGAGCGGGAGAAATATGAGAACACGCACGCCAAGTTCATTTACTACAACTCAGTTCAATGCAGCTCAGCTATGCACCAACGGCCAACTCCACCGCATTGGGTATGCGTGCCTGTACATTACGGATATGCACTTCACTTTGCACATTATCGCATACAAGCGACCATTCGAAGCAACAAAAACAACATACGAACTGCAACAACAATCATGGCTTCAAAATGATATCTACCCTCCCTAAAGCGTGGTGCGAGTTGTTTGCTGGTGACTCAGCGCAGCTCGAGCACTGCCAAAGCCAAACAAGGAAAGAGCAAACGCGCGTAGAGGAAATGTCAAGTCAAGTACTAAGAGGGTCAGCGCACAAAAACTCGAATTCCGATAAGAATTGTCGAGGTGTTTAAGCAAGTGGCAGGTAGTCGTAGTGGTAAGCGGTGGCACAGTAGCGCCGCATAGTGGAGTCTTTTGACTTTGAAACTCTGCGGAATTGACTGTTACATTAATAATAAAAAATAAATATATAAATATATAAATAAATAAATAAAATATAATATTAATACCCCAATGTACTTTCCTACCAGGGAAGGTTGGGAAGGCGGCCACCCGTCGGTAAACGCTGTTATTTCTATCTTCACCGATGCCTCAAACAGGAAAAAAGGTATTCGCCTGGGTCTATTCTCCATGGAACTTCAGATAAGGCATTCGTGTCGTCTGCCAGATAGCAGCAGTGTTTTTCAAGCGGAAATCTTTGCATTAGAGAAGGTGACTTGTCTCATTGTCATTATAATCGCTGACAGCCATGCGGCATTGAAAACATTAGGCTGCAGTAGTCACGTCAACAGCGCTCTCTGCTGGGTTGCTGGACAGAAAAATATGAGATGACTAGACACGCCTTGGAAATTCAAATTAGCTAAACAGATCACTTCCTACCAACACGATATATTTCTCCTAATTTGTGTTGAAGAATACACTACAGCCGTAACTATTGACCTATGGATCAACTCGAACGGCTGTGAGATGTCAATACCCTTTTGACCGAGACTCTATAAGAGTCGTACTGCAGAAATATTGACGCTTAACAAATCTGCTGTACGGGCTCTTACCCGCGTCATCGCAGGGCACTATGCCATAGCGAAAATGCTCCATCGGTGGCGTGTACCTGCAAGCTCCATCCTCTTCTGTCAGCTAGGATTCACTTCATCATTAATGTGGCCATAATTTATCGTCGTCCTTTCGGAACGAATGAGCCGATGAGTTAGGAAAGGTGAAGGGTCTTTATAATATGGAGCATCTGAAGAAGTTCCTTATTTTTAAGTTCTCTATAAAGGATGGATTCATATTGATTAAATTTGACTTTCATAGCACACTGGTCTTGGACTCTAACTAGGCTGGGACTGGCTAGCCTGTACGACAGCTGTCAGCTGTATCTCTAGCTGACATAAAAGAAAGAGTAAAATATCACCTCCCTTAAGCCGAGAATTTCGAACCGCGTAAATTACGATTAAACTGAAGGTGGCTTCGGAGGTACCCAAAAATAAGTGAACCACAAGCCTCACCGAGTAGTGAACAGATCTCTGGATGGATCCCCAATTAAGAAGCAACGCATGAGGCCACAATCTTCGAACTCGGTATGAACCCTAAAGACTCTATAATGAAGTGAGCCACGGTCCTCTGGTCTCTGAGGATACATACATACTTTGGTGTTCAAAGAGAGGGAACCACAAATGTCGACGAGTATTGAATTGTTCTCTAGGCGGAATATTAAGTTTTGAGTAAGTGGCAAATGAACTAAAATCGCGGCGGTACCAAGACCGATGAAAAAAAGGGTACTATAAGGAGCAGGATAATAGACCTAGCGCAGGTGTTGAAATTTAGATTAGGAGCCAGGTAGCCAGATGTTAGTTTTTCCAGCTACACGAAAGCTACCAGGCTGTCAATTCTACTAAAACTATTTCGCTCAATCGTGGAGCAAAAATGGAAAAAGCCAAGAAATGGACAGCTAATGTACGGAACGCTGGCATACACTTTCGGGCAGGTCCTTAATTGTCTGTTACGGTGGACCTGGGACCAACACCTGGGGGGATATAATCTTTGTGTTAGTCTAAGTATGCTTCCACTAGTAGAAGCATCCATCCTTACCAAGAAGCATCCATCCTTACCAAGAAGCATCCAGCCTGGGAGAGTTCAACGCACTGCTGCTGAACCGGATTAAAGGTAGTTCGCTGGTGCATGCCAAAAATAAAAACTTTGTCATGCGAAACTCCAGCACAGGAAGGGAACTGAGACAGAGGCCAAGGCTGTTACCCCACCGGTGCACTTAGATTTTATTTTTATTTTTTAGTGGAATATCTTTGGACAAAAAAGGTTTTTATGCAAGGCTTCAAAAACTACTTCACAGGCTCTAATTTTTCGATTTTTTATCAGAATATTATTTGCTCATCGATTCACTTAATGCCACACTGTGCATACGCAGGATGGATCGAATGAGAGCACTCCTCGGTGCTCTATATTACCAATCGAGACGTTGGTTAGTGTTGGTAGTTTTTGTGGCTTTTGTGTCGATTGATAGCTAGCTGGTTGGATCTTCAATCTTAGCTGCTGCCTTGGTGTCGATGACTCTGCGGTGGTGGTGTTTTTAATGGCATAAGTAGGTATGTTGTTTGTGTACAGTCATTTTTGGTGCCCTATAGTGTTTTTGTTTTCTTTTTCTCCTCACAGTTGGGGCTTATTCGTACTTGTATGCCGCTAAGGGTCGAGGGTGAGCGAAACTTAAGACAGTTCCGAAGACAGTGCTGCGTTTTTGGCTCTCCCTCGGCGCAAATCAAATTGGAATATGAACCCCTTTTCTGTATTTTGTTTAAAACATAGCTGCCGAGTGTGGGAAAATGTTTCGAAATTTTGTCCAAAATTCCGATACGAAAACAGTGAGGCAGAGAGACAAAAAAAGAAAAACAATAAAGAATATAAACAAACGTGATATGGCATGTCGTAGGAAGGGAAGCAAGGCTCACCAGCAAATGAGTAAGAGAGGGAGAAGGCAGGCGGCACTCAAGTGCAGTGTGTAGGGATGTACAAGTATGCGAGTATGGGTATGCAAGGAGCGTGTGTGCGTGCGTGTATGTGTTACGATCGTGCAGGGTTTTTTTTTGGTTTTAATATCCATACCCGTATTTGTATTGCTCGCTGAAAGTCTATAGGAAAAAAATGGCAGGTGTTCATCGTGAAATTTTCTCATGGTACTCGCAAGCGATAAGGAATATTAAATGTACCAATAAGCATAGTGTTTTTTTTTTTCTAAGTTTTTTTCCTTTATACATTTTTTTTTTGTATAGTTCCTTTACTGGTTTTCGATTACTTTAAGGTTATGTGTATAATTTGTCTTGTGTGTTTTTTTTTATCTCGAAAACTGTAACTGTATGTTGTACTACATAGGAGGGTGCGGGGGTTGGTGGTGGTGGTGGTGTTGGTGCTCCTGCTACTGACTGAATGTATGTATGTACTTATGTATCGGCTTGCAGGATTTACGAACGTGAATTTCAATTTCATTTCCGTGGGAAAACGCATTCGGTTGGCATTCCCACGCAGTTAAGGTGGTTTTTGTTATCCTGCTGCCACTGCTGGTGCTATCTTATTGTTGTTATTATGATTACAGTTCGGTTCGGTGCGGTTGCTGCTGGAGTTGGAGATTTAATAGTTTCGTAGGTTGTATGTGTGTGTGTGCTTTTTTTTATCATCACTTCTTGCTCGTTTTACACGTTTTTTTTTCTGACAAAGGATGCGTGTCGTGAACGGAATTGAGAGCGCGTAAGCAAATTATCCTTTAAGCGGTACAGTTAATTGCAAAATGAGACAAGAGTGGCCATGGCAATGGCAGTCTTTGGAGCAGTGTGTTGTTATTTAGTAGTAGGACAAGCTGCGTGGTAGAAGGTAAAGGGGCTGTAGGCAATAGCAGTCAACGCTAAGTCCTTTTACAATTACATACTTGGCGTAATTTGGTTGTGATGAGGGTTTAATGTTGGGGTTAGGTTTTTTTTTTGTTTTTTTTTTTTTTTTGTTCTTTCGATTCGTTTTTGTTTTCTACGTTTTTTCGGTAGGTGTTTTGAAAAATTTTCCCAGGCTTTGCAACACCACAAGCTGTGCTGAGACGGGTCAGGGAACAGGTTGTTTGATTGTATTGTTGGTCTTGGCCCTTTTTGCTTGTTTTGTGGTTTAGTACTCCGCGGTGTTTGTTATGACGATGCGTTTGTCGTTCGCCTGCCAGGCTTAGGGCTGGTTTGAACCGCTTTGTGCTGGGCGTGCTGGACGTGCTGCCTTGGCTGATCGCACGAATGCTACTGTTATTACTTTTAAGGATGGTAGCATTAAAAAATAGCGCAGAAAAACAAAACAAGAACGTACATACATACATACATGCATCCAATTTTCTTGAAAGGGTTTACGTAGAGGCAGTGCTGAAACTTTTTTTCATGCTCATCTTCCTTTTTCGATTTCTGTGGTTTTTTATTATGCTTTTATAGCCAATTTGGCTTTACTGAGTCTCAGTGTCGTTTAGTTTTATCAATGAAAATGTCGACTACTTCTTTCTATCCTCTTCTGTTCGTATCAGACTCAATACTATTTATTTATGAAGTTGTGTTGTTAACGTTGCAAGAGTAGATATTAATTATTTTTTTTAGACTGTCGATTTGTGCTCCAAGCCTAGTCGTGTTACGCGTGCGCAGTACGTGTCTAGCACAGGTAGGCACTGCGTCAGCCTAGTCTAGGCTTGCGTGTCCACAAATAATTGCCCTTCAACTTTTATTATTTTGGTTTTTTTTTTTTATGTACTCCGTAATGGATTGCCATCCATGTCATCGTTGTTTATAAATTTCAATGGTATGGCATCGGATTT